GGGGCTTAAGTGGAGAGCCAATGTTTTGAGAATGATGAGGGCAATGAATGTACAAATGTGCTTTACACAATTGATGTATGTATGGTGATGAGTCATATGAGCCCCTAATAAAACGATTAAAAAATTCAATATCCAGAGTAGTATATAAAGAACTCCTAAAACTTAAAAAGACAATGCAATTGAAAAATGGGCAGTCTCATGGACCCTAGACTTTCTGGAACCAAGGAGGGTAGATAAGAACCTAAAACCATCACTTGCGGATAAACTAAAAAGTCTCTTAAATCTTCTTAAAATCAACCAATAATGTAGTGTGGTAGTTACATAATTTTGTGTCAACTTGAAAGTGTTGGGGAGGAGTCTAGCCTGTCATGCAAATCACAGCCTTCTGGTGCTCCCTGTGAGCATGACTTCCTCATAAGGAGGGTTCTGGGAACCTTCCTGCACCCCTCCCCCTCCCATGCTGATGAGCCAGGCTGAGATCTGCATCACCCCTGTGATGCTTCCACTGCCATTTGAGCCACAAGACTTCACCCACTGGCCTGTGATCTTTCTGCATTTTGCATCATTGCTTGTGGCTGCGTGAGTCTGAAGAGAGATTTATGGACAAGTATTGGACTTAGGGACTTGATCTGGACTGGGATGGGATGTTTTCCTGATACACAATTACTTCTTGACAATAACCTTTAGCTTAAATATGTAAGTGTCCTTGGATTTGTTTCTCTAGTCAACCCGCCCTAACACACTGTTGTTTAATGTCTGGCTTGCACATTATGCTCTTTTAGAGTTGCCTACATGTGATCTAACTGATGACAACCATTAGAAAGGTTAGACAGGAACATGAGGGGGACAGTGAAGATAAGATGATGGGTGAGGAACAACTGGTTTTTCTTCTTTTTTAATCATTTTATTGGGGATTCATATAATTCTTATCTCAATCCATACATACATCCATTGTGTCAAGAACATTTGTACATTTGTTGCCATCAACATTCTCAAAACATTTGCTTTCTGCTTGAGCCCTTGGTATCAGCTCCTTATTTTTTCCCCTCCGTCCCTTATGAACCCTTGATAATTTATAATTATTTTGTCATGTCTTGTTCAATATCTCCCTTCACCCACTTTTCTGTTGTCCATCCCCCAGGGGTGAGGTTATATGTAGAGCCTTGTGATCGGTTCCCCATTTCCACCCCACCCTCCCTTCACTCTCCCAGTATTGCCACTCTCAACACTGGTCCTGAAGGGATCATCTGTCCCGGATTCCCTGTATTTCCAGTTCCTATCTGTACCAGTGTACATCCTCTGATCTAACCAAATTTGTAAGGTAGAATTGGGATCATGATAGTGGCGGGGGAGGAAGCATTAA